ACCAATTTTCTTTCTTCTCTCTCTCTTTTTTTTTTTTTTTTTAAAGAAAGTCTGAACTGACAGGTAAGCTAAGGTAATCTCTAGTGATAAAAAAGGTAAGACAAACTAAGCCAGCCTTTCAATTTTGTTGGAAGTGGGAGTATACAATTCTCTCTTATTTACAACCCTCCAACCCCCACGAGGCAACAAACCCAGCCAACATACTATGACACCAAAATGTGCATTGCCAAATCCTGTTTTTGACATTTTGCTGAAATGTAGCAAGACACAGAAGCTTGAACAATTTTAAAATTACTGACCGAAACTAAAATAGTTTCCAATACTTAAGAAACACTTTCAGAGCATTTGCTTAGTCAGCCTCTTAGAAGTCTGCCATTAAAACACTTAATCTGCAGTAAGATGGCTCTTTGATTTTCCCTTTTCATATAAAAAAAAAAAAAAAAAAAAAAAAAGGCTATTCAGTGCTATTTTACAATCTCTCTCAGACCACTTTATTTTTGGGCACTAATAATCACAGGAAATCTAAAGAGATGGCATACTACTTTACATTGTAATTACTTGAACTCAAAAGCCCTAATGAGACCTTTGGGATGGAATACCCAACATCAATAGAATAAAGTACGATTCCAGAATCTTAGTTTCTATCATAGGACCAAAATCTGGAAGCTTTCAGAGGGGGGGGAGGGAAGAAGAGTCAACATCATAGATAAAAATTGTACACAAGTACAAGTTTTTGGAATGAATCCGAACGTAGGCAGGAGGAGAGGCGAGTGACAGGCAATGATAGAAGGCACAAAGTTAATGAGATGACATTAGCTCCATAGAAATAAATAATGGAATATTCCAATGGTGTAACTTGAAGGATGCAGAGAAAATCCAGTCTATATAAATAATACAAAGGACATGACTGAACATTGGTTTGAGGGAGGAAAGTAAAAAAGGATTACAGGCTGTAATCTTGTGACTAGTTATATACCAGAAGTTATTTTGATAAACACAATATAGAAACCATGAAAGGTTCCTTGTTTTGTAACTATTAGGCAAGGTCAACCAAAAAAAAAAAAAAAGTGAAGCTCAGACTTCCAAGGAGAGTAGAAGAAAAAAAACAGACTGTTTAAGCAAGTCTCTGGTTTTTGAAGTTTAAGAAACCTGGGTTAAGAGGGGAAGGTCTTAGTTTCGTAGTACTTAGAGTCGGAAGGGACTCTACAGATCATCAGGTCTGACCTCCGGCCCCGGGCAGGAACAAGTGCTGGGGTCATAACACCCCAGCCAAATATCTGTCCAGCCTCCTCTTGAAGACCCCAAGGTAGGAGAGAGTACCACCTCCCTTGGGAGTCCATTCCAGAGCCTGGCAGCCCTAACTGTAAAGTAACGTCTCCTGATGTCCAGCCTGAACCTTCTCTCTAACAATTTGTGGCCGTTATTCCTAGCAACCCCCAATGGTGTTCTGGGGAACAGAGCCTCACCCAATTTCTGCTGGTCCTCCTTGGTGAGTTTGTAAACGGCCACCAGACCCCCTCTCAGCCTTCTCTTGTGGAGGCTGAATAGATTCAGGCCCTTTAGTCTCTCTGTAGGGCCTGACCTGCTGGCCCCTTGATCATGCAAGTGGCCCTCCTCTGGACCCTCTCAATGCTAGCCACATCCCTCTTGAAGTGCAGCGCCCAGAACTGGACAGAGTACTCCAACTGCGACCTGACCAACACCGCACAGAGGGAAAGGATCACCTCCCTGGACCTGCTTGCGATGCATCTGTAGATGCATGACAAGGTGCAGTTAGCCTTACTGACTGCTTCCTCTCATTGGCGGCTCATGTTCATCCTGGAATCAACAGCAACTCCAAGATCCCTTTCTGCCACTGTTAACAAGAAGGGTGTTCCCCAGCCTATAAGCGTGTTGCTGGTTCCTTCTCCCTAGATCCAGCCCCCTGCACTTGTCCATGTTGAATTCCATCCTATTCTCATCCACCCATCTCTAACCTATCTAGCTGAATTCTGTCCCTCCCCTCCAGCATGCCCACCTCGCCCCACATCTCGGCGTCAGTGAGTTTGGACAGCATGCTTTCCACATCCACATCCAGATTGACGATAAATATGTTGAACAGTACAGGCCCAAAGACTGAGCCCTGGGGGACTCCACTGCCCATATCCCTCCAGGTTGAAAACCACCTGTCCACCACCACTCTCTGGGTGTGACCATCTAGCCAGTTTGCCTACACAGTCAGATGGGTGGCATTGATGCCACAGTCACTTCTTTTAAATTTATTACAAGAATGTGGTGGGACACCATGTCAAAGGCCTTCTTAAAGCCCAGGAAGATGACATCCACCTCAACACCCTCATCCGGGGACTTTCTGATCTGATCATAAAAGGAAACCAGGTTAGTCAGGGAGGATCTGCCCCCAGTGAACCCACGTTGATTGCCCCTGAGCATTACCTCCCCTGCTGGGCCCTTGAAGATGTGCTCCTTGATAATTCTCTCAAAGGTCTTCCCAAGGACCAAGGTGAGACTAACTGGCCTATAGTTACCTGGGTCCTTCTTTCTCCCCTTCTTGTAAATGGGGACCACAGTGGCACTTTTCTAATCCCCTGGTACCTGGCCAGAGCCCCATGAGCACTCAAAGCTGTGCCAGGGGCCCTGCTATGACCCCTGCCAATTCTCTCAGCACCCTTGGGGGGACAGCTTCTGGACCTACCGATTCAAAAAAAAAAAAAAAACCCAAAAAACCCAAACAAAAAAACAAACAAACCACACATCCAGCCCCTCCAAAAAGTTCCCTAAGTAGGTCAACCCTGACCCTAGGCACAGTGGTGCCTTCCCTGGGTCCATCCGTAATCCTAGAGGGGGAAGTGTCCCAGTCCCTGTTCAGAAATATGGAGGCAAAGAATTTGTTGAACAGGTCAGCTTTTTTGTTTGCCGCAACCACCAGATTGCCAAGCCTGTCCTGTAGGAGCCCCATGTTCCCTGGTGCCTCCTCTTTACTCGCTATGTATTTGAAAAAGGACTTATTGTTATCTCTAATTCTGGTCACTAGCCCTAGCTCCATCTCTGCCTTGGCCTTCCTAACAGCCTCCCTGCAGTCATGAGCAACAGAAGTGTAGTCTGCCTTGGTGACAGCTCCTTGCCTCCACTGCTTGTATGCCTCCTTTTTTGCCCTCAGGCATCCCTGGATACCTTTGCTGAGCCATGGGGGCTTTTTAGCACTCCTGCCCCACTTGGTGCACATTGGGACCAACTCCCTTTGAGCTCAGAGAATAGTCTCCTTGAGGAACAGCCACCCATCATGGACTCCCATCTCATTGAGGCTCCAAGATCCCAATGCCTCTCTTACTAATCTTCTTAGCTCATTGAAGTTGACCCTCCTGAAGTCAAGTTTTGCCTTACTGCTTGGTTTCACCACCCTACACTAGATAGTAAATTCCAGCAGGCAATGATCATTGTCACCCAGGTGGTTGAGTACCCGCAGACCCCTCACCACATCGTTGCCTGTGGAAAGGACCAGGTCCAGCAAGGCATTTCCCTTGGTGGGATTATGCACCTCCTGGATCCCGGCTAGGAACCTACATGAGTGGTCAGACCTGGTTGACTGCTCCTCCCAGCAGATGTCTGGGTAGTTAAGGTCACCCATGACAACCACATCCCTCGACTTTACAGCCTCCGTGAGCTGACCTGAGAATTCCAGGTCCAGCTCATCCCCCTGGTGAGGTGGTCCGTAGTAGACACCCACTATCAAGTTCCTTTCCCCACGACCCCCTTGCATTCTTATCCAGAGTGCCTCAGTTTGCCCCTCCTGTGACCCCATCCTGATCGAGGATGTGTATTGCTCTTTGATGTAGAGCACTACACCCCCCAACCTTTTTTCCCTGCTCTCTTGCCTGTACAGCCTGTAGCCCTCGATGTCCACTGCCCAGTCGTGGGTAAAATATTCTTCCTACTTCTCTCTGTAAAATCTATTTCATAGATTATAATGCATTTATTGAAGTAAACCAACTGTAGGTTTCTTTTCTTCTACTGGTGTTACGATTTTTTTTCCCTATAGGAGGTATTGTTACTGTTACAAGCAAAAGTTATTTTTTTACTTATTTTTCCTTTTAGGTGTCAAAGGTTTCAAGGCAGTGATCCATCCTGTTAATTCCTCTTACTACAACAGATGAACAACTAGTTACATACACCTAGGGTATCTAGTAAAACTCTGAAGAAACTTGAGCCCTGATGTCAATGTTCCTCCTCACACATTTTCTATGAAGCTAACACTTCCAGAAAAATGAAGCATAGGTTGGTCAGAAAGCTCAAACATAATATCAGATTCTGCATTTTATAATACGGTATTTGGTTTACTGTATTTAAATACATGCGCATTTTCTTATATAAATAATGGAAAGATGTTTTACAGTTCACAAAACAGTCAAAAAGTTCCTCAAAATAATGATCACATGCTCACCTAATATTAAATTTACATCATTTTGAAAAATTATGGAAAAAACAGCTCCAAGTCCTATGCAAAAAGTCAGCCTTAAGAAAAAAAGATTTCCATAACTGAAAAATGGAAAAAACTAACATTTTATGTACCTGTTTTTATAACTTAAGTTAGATTTTACCTGTCTTTTAGAATAAGCTTGTCTTGATCATCAGTTTCCATTTCTTCAACATCTTCATTCACAGTTTTAATTATACCATTTTCCTTATGTTCTTCATTTAGCAGCTCGTACCTCCCATTTTCTAGGGCTGCTCTCCAAGACTGCCTGTCTGTAACCTGCAGCAAACAAGATTTTGTTTCTACAAACTTTTGGTTGTGCCATCTTTTGTACACTTATTTAAACTTGTATTTTTATTTCCTTCAGAATGTTATGCAAGAGTTCATTGGCACCAACCTTCCTACAAGCACCATCTACAAAAAGACTGAATAGTGGAATACCTTAATAGCTCCCAATGTTCCTTGATAGATTCGGTCTTCAATGTCTAATAGAAAGTCTCTAAGTCGTAGTTCAAGTTGTTTTTCTGCTGACATCTGAAGTGCATCATGTGTATTCTGTATTCTTCCCCGCCCTGAAGGTGGTCTGCTGTCACTTTGAGGTTTGTCTGCAATGAGAGTCAATACTATAATCTGTTAGGATTTTCTACCCCTTAAAACTGACCAGCAAAAAAAGCAAAACAAAAAACCCAAACCTTCAACAAAAAGGGCTATTAACCAAAGTTATTTAAAATTCTTTCAGTACTGATTTAGCTAGAGTAACACCATAAAATTCAACTCAAAAACAGAGCCAAACAAAGTCTTCCTAGAAAGGTCAACATCCAGGGCAACCCAAAGCAGGAAGCAAATGGAAGGGACAGAGTTAAAGCTGTCTTGAAATGTTTTATTTTAGCAAGTAACAGATTCTCTGCTATAAAATTAGGAAAGGATTCTCCCGTTTCTTTTTCTGTACACTCAATTTCACTCTGATTTGACAAGAGAAACAGAACTCCTGAACTGTGGGTGGTTCTTCCACACAATATGTAAAAAAACAACAAGCAAGTACAACTGTTAAACTGTAAAACCTGACAAGGCAATTCAGAAGCAAATCACATTTCCTGAAACCACTTAACTCATTTTATGAGTTAAGTTCCTTTAGCAATCAGATTTTACTCGATAACTCCAGTAAGTGGAGATCAGTTATGGATTTTGAATGCAGTTTCAAATGCATATTTGGGCTAGGAACCATAAACAAACCTATCCCATCTGGTTTCTAAATAAGTTTTTCAGCCTCTTTCTAGACTGTTTTAAGACAGTTTACTGTGGAGACTTTACACATATTCCATATTATTCAAGAATAAAAATGCAGCGTTTTAAATGCTATCAAAAAAAAGTTCTCACTTTTGGTCCAAAAATTTCCCCAACCCATACAAATTCATTTTGCATTTCTGTGGTATACATGCAAGACATCCTTCATTTCTGTCAGCAATTTGCATGACGACTGATATGCACTAGTCTCATTTTTTCTAAGCACAAAAATGGTTGCAGTAGTTTCAAGCAAGCTTTTACACTTGGAAACACACAAAAGCAGCGCTATTTTGCAGACCAAGCTACTCCTTTAGTGAGGATGTGCCAACAGAGCATAGAAACTTCTGCACGAATTTAGCCTGTGCATGACCCTGCAGTGTTCAGTTACAGAGATCTTTTACTTTTTTCAAAAAAAAGTTTGCACGACTTCAATAGAGTACTAAAACCAAGTAAAGTGAACAAGACAAGTGGGTCTTTTGAATTAATTTTGTATATTACATTATAAAAGAACACCCCCCCAAATCAAAAGCATAGTACAGTAATTGCCTCTCCTATGCCCTTTGTCTTCGAAGACAGATTACTGCATCTTCGTCTCTCAACACTGCTGTGACAGACCTTCCTTTCAACCCAGGGATATCAAATACTCAATTTTCAAATCTACATCAAACTGAAGTCCCATTCTCCCTCTTGATTATGCATGCTCTAACAGACTTTTGCCAGGTAGTAAGAGCTAATGACTGGCTCCAAGTTATTAACCAGGGGTACTCAACCCCTAGCTCATGGGCCAGATCCATGTCATCTGACCCACAGGGCTCTCGATGGGTCTGAAAATTTGGCAGCAGGGAGAAGTAGTCGTCAGTCTCCTGCCACAACATATCTGGACCCATAAGGAGCCTTGTAGGCCAGATGACAGTCCTACACCCTAGATCAGGTGAACATGGCAGCACAGGGCCCAGTTCTAGAATGAGGGGGCACCAGGGTCCAATCCTGGTACATGCAGCCTGACCTCAGTACAGGGGGTGGGGGCGCAAGGCTCCAATCTGGCCTGTAAACTAGCCCCACACAAAACTCATCTCACCTGAAGGACCAAAAGATTGAACACCACTATATTGAATAAAAAAAAGCAGGAAAGCTATTACCCTTAAGACACACCACAAAATGGGTTTAAAAAAAAACAAACACACACCAAACATCAAAAGTGGGTGTTTTCCCTATAAAAAGGTGCACAGTTCAACTGTACAAACAAAAGGCAAAATAATTTATTTATATGGGGTAGTGAGGGTACTTAAATAAGAACTATAGGCTCCTAAAAATACTATACAGAAACAACAACAATTAAACCAAAGTTCAAATAATTTGCAAAAAACACACCAAACTAACTTGCCACTTACCTGGAATATGTAATTTTTCCACAGGAAATTTGTTTAGCTGTTCATATAGTCTATTTTTCTCTTGTAAAAGAGTTTCTTTTAAGGCACTCTCCCTATGTCCTCGGGAATTGAGAGCCTCTAGGAGTTGGTCCAGTTGTTCCCGAGAACTGTAAAAGCACCAGCGGTTTGGCTTACATACTGGCCTTGGCACCTCAACGGCAACACTGGCATATGAATCTTGGTCAATAGCGGAGGTAGATTCAGAGGACTTCAACTCTCCAGTTTTAGGGGATACCTGAGGTTCATTTGTGCAAGACTGTACACTATTCTGAAAGGAAGATGTTCGAGGCAATAACATGTCTTCTGTAAGACCAGAATAATCCTCTTCTATAAACAGTCCAGAAACGGAAGGAAAAATCCAGTATCGTCGGTACATGCGATCACGACCCAAGGCAGTGATGTTGGTGCAGGCTGTGGCATTCTGAATCTTTTCTAGAAGTTCTCTCTCTCTCTTTTGCTGCTCCTGTTTTAAAGCCTCTTCCTCTTCAGCAGTAAGAGGTTCACTCTTTTCAGATATAGTTTCTTCTTGCCTTGCAAGTTCTTTATATCCATTTTGGCTTCTCTTTCCTAAGAAATGACAAGAATGACAGTAACATACTCCTACTACTGCCATTAGCTCAACTTATAATAAGATTACTCATTTTGACATGTTCACTGTAATCAGGTTAACATTATCATTTTGTGCTCAGTAAGAGAGCAAAACTAATTGTGTGAAAAAGAAAGGCCATTTTTAAATCGTAGGGAACGGGGTTGGGCTGTTTTGTTTTGTGTGTGCACCATTCGTAATTTAAAAAAAAAATGCTACAAAGATTCTCTTATGGTAAAGTGACCAAGAGAATTCCAGTACTTGCTTTAACTGTCAGTGAAATTGTAATGTTAAGTGTGACAGCCTAAAGAGCCAGGTTGAAACAGCCCTATAGTCAAAGAGGCCCTGTTGCACACAACCTGCACTGTATTACAGTTTATTTGTTGTTTTAAATTCCTGGGTAAACAGAGGAAAAAAAAAAAAACTACATTCTTATCAAAATTAGCTGTTTGATCCAGTATCCCTCCAGGTGTTCAGTGCTTTGCTCATTTTTAACTGATTTAATCCAGTAATTCTCAACCAGGATGCTGTAAAATGTTATCACTGTTAGGGTGTGCAAACACATACATGATGATTCACAAAATAAACCTCAAAGTTTCAAATAGGAATCCATGCCGTCAAAAACACTGACCTCTTCAATTACAAAGAACTCCAAGACTACAACAGCTGCTCCATTATTTTACATAGTCAAACAAGTGAAAGCTAAGAGCTGGTATTTTCCAAGCGGTACCTCGAGTCTAACGAGGTTGAGAACCACTGATTTAAGCAGTTCACTTATTATTACTGCTCTTAGTAATATTTTTTAAAATATTTTAAAAAACAAAACACACAACCCTTTTCTTCCCGTCAGTCCATTCCTAATATCCAAGTAGGTTGTTGCCTACAAAAGCTCATGCCTCTCTAAATCAGTTAGTCTCCAAGGTAACACTCTTCCCTGCCTTCTATCAGACTAGCATGGCTAACCCCTTTTGTATTATTGTCAAAAGGGAACAGAAACATTTGCCTAACACAGTGGCATTCCAAAGCTTAATCTACTAACATTTAAAATGAATTTCAGCACTCTCAAAGACCTCTGTAGGGTTCATTATAAAAATCTCAGCATCCTGTGGAAAATACTACAAAAAAGGTGAAGTACTACAAAAAATGCAAACACACTAGAAAAAGGCTTTAAGACCCAGAACTCCAATTCAATATATTGTTATCAACTACACAAACTCATAATTAAGGTTCAAACATTAACAACTTTTTTAAAATCAGCAAAGACAGAAGTATAAGTCAAATGAATAACACTTTAAGTTATCCTTAACGACATATCTAATAAAAGCTGAAGCTATAATCTGGGTTTGAATCCAGGCTTACAGAGCGTAAGAGGCAGACCTAGTCCAGAGCCAAATTACCAGTGTAAGACATTTTAAAAGAAAGTTCCAGAGAAAAGTAGATTTGGTTTTTATTTCTTGTCGTCATCACCATTATGGTTAAAGTTTTTTTGTTTTGTTTTTTAAGAAAACAACTGAAAAAGCATCTTTAGATAAGATTCCTACAGGACCACTGAAATAGTCAAAACTGTGAATAGACAACAGCTTATTATCATTTCACCCTTCTGACACAGTTGCCTAGATGGCAAGCAGAAGAAAGAGGCACAGAAGCTGAAGTGCATACGATTGACAGTTAAAACAGGGTTCAAGACAGCTCAATGTACTGAATAATCCATTAGGATCAACATCTCGTACAATGAGGTTTATGCTTTTTAAAAGCATATTAAAAACAGTAAGAATTTATCTATCTAATTGCATACACACTCATAGATTCATAGATTCATAGATTAAGGGTCGGAAGGGACCTAGTAGATCTTCTAGCCCGACCCCCCGCCAGGGCGGGAGAACAACAAAAACCCC